TATCTCCAGGATGCGACCCACACCAGTCGGCTAGCACTCGGGTAGGCATTTAGGTGAACAGGGACAGAAGGTCTCATAAGGAAACACGCCCCCATTGTTTCCACCTGTAGCGGGTATCGAACCACGGACCTCAGTGTGTGAGCTGAGTGCGCTACCAACCGAGCTACGGGACAAACTCGAACCACCCAATTGAGCAAAAGACTAACGTGAAGGATTTAGGTGTGATAATGTCTAAAGATGTCACTTTCATTGTTCAGAGATCAAAGGTAGGTACATCACAACAGTGTAATTACCACAACTGCAAGGGCAATGATAGGCTGGATGAGCAGGACCTTCAAAACGAGACATGCCAAGGCAGTGAAGATAATATTTAAGTCACTTCTCTCTGCACCGGAATAATGTTGTACTAATACAGTCGGTTTTAAGGTAGGTGAAATTGCAGATCTGGAAAATGTACAAAGAACCTTCACTGCCCGAATAAACTGTCTGCACCTAAATTATTGGGAACGTTTGAAGCCCCTCGAATTGTACTCCTTGAAATGTAAGCGAGAAAGATATTTCATAATCTATACCTGAAAAATTTTGTAAGGAGTGGTCCTATATGTGCACTCAAAAATCACTGCTTACGAAAGCAGGAGGCTCGGCACTAAGGGAACGTGCAAACCCCTAATTGAACGTTAGAGTGCCATAACGAGAAAGATATTTCATAATTTATGGAAAGTCTTTCTAATGCCCTACCCACTACACAAGGGGAATTTCAGCAAACACGGCTGTCTCAGGAGGATTAATCATGAACTTGGTCCAGAATTGTCGAGTTTAGCTTGAAGATTTTGTACATTTGTTTCGCCAGTGTTTCTGATACTTCTAGTAAATTTAGAAGTCGGGGACGTACAGATGTGGTTATGTCTCTATTGTGGCTACAGCGTCCCTGCTATTTATTGTTTTATTCTTCACTTCCTGTTTCTGTCTTCTGCACTCTATTAGTAATTGACAGCGCAGTTTGGGACAAGACTCTCGAGCATTTCACGTACCTATATTATATTATATTTTATTATTATTTTTTTATTATCGCACTGCATTTCACCTATGCAGGGTGGCCCGAAAAAGGAAAACTTCTCATCATCTTCCATCACTGTCTTCCAGAGACATTATATAATATATATATATTATATATATATATATATATATATATATATATATATATATATATATATATATATATATATAATTATCTCTCCTTTGCCTCAACGAGTACATATTTAGGACTTAATGCATCCTCGGTAATTTATTTTTCTATAGGCTGTATGTGAGCCGTAAATGGTCATGGAATCTGTTTAAGTTCTGATATATCTTCTGCCCCGAACAGAGCCAACAACACTGAACAATACTCTAAGCGAGAGAGCACAAGCGATTAGAATATTATCAAAAGTGGCACCATTTCTCCTCATCTTCAAAGTTATTATTATCCACTCCATCATTTTCCTGGCTGTAATACTTAGAACTTTACTGTATTTGATGAATTCATCAGTTGTGTAGTACAGCAAAACGTTTCATGTACGGTCCTCCTCCTCCCTGCCACCTATTTACTCTGTTACATCTGTAAGTATTGTAGTTTTTAATCGCTATTTCACCATCTAAAACATCCCCTGTGTGTGTGTGTGTGTGTGTGTGTGTGTGTGTGTGTGTGTGTTTCTGTAAGGGTCCTAACATAACATTCGTCTTTACAAAGAGCCCACTTATTTAGCTAACTTTATCATTTCTATTTGTTTTCAGAACCTGAAAGTTTGGAAATAGGAAGGAGGATACATCATTTGGGAAGTTTTGATTTAGTTTGTTAGTACCACTGGTACAGTGCCATCGTGTGATATGGCCGTTGGTTGACATATTTCTCGTCTGCCCAGGGCTGTCGGAAATGTGGCATGTATGCTTGGCTCTGGTATGTGTGGAACCAGTTCACTGCATTGCCATTGCCATGTGTCTCTGTTTACCCTGTGTTTTTTCATGGGGTTTCTTAGTGTTTTCCTTAGATGTTATCTCTCTTCCCATAAAACCGGTTATTTTTATTGTTTTCTACGTCTTCAGCCTCTTAATTCATAACTCTATATCGTTGTCTTCTCTTGACGGTGGGCTGCTTAGGTCTTAATATTGTCTGGTTTTAAATGATGAATTGCACACTGGGTGGAAATACCTGGACTTCACACCGTGGCGTCTTCCTCATTAATCTTGAGCCTGGCGCACTCAGTAGCCTCCTCCTCGTAGGTTTTATTATGGAAACGTTTCGGTCCTGGGACTTTTTTCACTCCATTGTAGTATGACGTGAATAAGATCCTGAAACACAAAGCTCTTGGACCTTCTGCCGCTGCCTGTAACAGCACTGAAACACTTTCACACGAACAGGGCTAATGTCCTCACACAAACATAACAATGAACAGGGGATATCCTCAGCAACAGCAGGAGGGACTCCTAAAATAGTGTTGTGGGTTTGTGTGTGTGTGTTGTGTGTTGTGTGATAAGGGGTGGAGGTAAGGAAGAACGAGGAGGAGAAAGGGGATGTGATAGTGTCAGAAGGCATGATCTGGTGGCGGCGGCGGCGCGGCGCGGCGGCCGGCGGCGGGCGCGCGCGGCGCGGGCGGCGGCGGCGACGCGGCGGCGCGCGGCGCGGTGGCGGGCGGCGTAGACGAGCGGAAGTGCAAAAAGTTCCAACTACTTAAAGGTCACGGAGAAGGAGGAAGGGGCTAGGAAGGTTGAGAGCAGAGAAATTTTTTGGCAGCAAACCAAGTGGCTGGGCGTCTACTACCAGTGATTTAACATACTAATGAATCAGCTCTAGGTTCTAGATAACGAGGAGGCTGCTGGGTATACTAGGTTTGATTTAACGAGGTGCTGGATACTAGGTCTAGATTAACGAGGGGTGGGGTATACTAGGTTCTAGATAACGAGGAGGCTGCTGGGTATACAGGTTGATTAACGAGAGGCTGCTGGGTATACTAGGTCAGATTAGGGAGGAGGCGATGGGATACTAGGTCTAGATTAACGAGGGAGGCTGGGCTGGGTATACTAGGTTTAGATTAACGAGGACTGCTGGGGATACTAGGTTCAGATTACAAAGGTGCGGGATACAGGTTCTAGATTAACGAGGAGGCTACTGGGGGTACTGGGTCTAGATACGGAGAGGCTGCTGGATTATACTAGGTTTCTAGATTAACGAGAGGTACTGGGGTACTTGTTCTAGTTTAACGCAGGGGTATGGGTATACTAGGTTCTAGATTAACGAGGAGGCTACTGGGGGTACTTGGTTCTAGATTAACGAGGAGGGTACTGGGTATACTAGGTTCTAGATTAACGAGGAGGCTACTGGGGGTACTTGGTTCTAGATATAACGAGGAGGGTACTGGGTATACTAGGTTCTAGATACAGGAGGCTACTAGGGTACTTGGTTAAAGATAACGAGGAGGGTACTGGTTACTAGTTCTAATTACGAGGATGTACGGGGTACTGTTCTAGTCTGATGAACAAGAGGCGGTACTTGCATGTAAAAACCTGGTTTAGAATAATATATTGTGGTTAAAGATAGACGAGTGAAGATTTAGTATATATATATAGCAAACTTTGTCATTTCTGTTTATTTTCTGATTCTATATGTTTGCTATCGGGAAGGAGGATAAACCATTGGGGATGTTTTAGTTTAGTATATGTTTTGTTATTGCTTCTGGTACTGTTGTCGTGGTGGACATATTTCTGGTCTCCCTTGAACTCTGTGCTGTGACATGTTCGACCCAGCATGAAGAACCGGTTCTCTGTGTTCCTTTGCCAGGTATCTCTGTTTCCTGTGTATTTTCACTGGGTTTATTTATCTTCACTAGATGGTGTGTCTCCCCATAATTTTTCTCTGTTTTATTATTTACTACGTATTCGGCTTCTTGGCAGGCACCTACTGGTAGTTCTGTATTGTTGTGCTCTCTTTACTGGGAGATTTTTAGTCATGACAACGAAGAAATGGGTGAAATCCTTACAGTATGAACAGTGTTCAGCAATTAAATCAACACAGTAAGGATTGACGACCCCGATCATTTCTTCGCTAACTGTTCTTCAGAGTAGCAGCATATTCAATGAAATTCGAGGTTATAAAGAGCGCAGACATAGCCTTCACAATGAAGGCAGTTGAGCTCTGGCAAGAAATTACAGATCAGTGGCACTAACATCATGTGTTGAAAATGGTATAAAATACCGACAAGTTGATGATTAAGATACATGTGCAACAGTTGGGCAGCTTTATTGTTGAAAGGTTTCGCTTACACAGTATGCTTGCTTCAGTCAAATACAGTGGCAGCAGGTGTAGTAGTGAAATGATGATGTAATCAGTCCATCAGCCCTGGGGAGATGTGAGATGGTCAGTCCTTCAGCCTGGAGAAGAGTTCAACTTCATGGTCTGGAACGATATCGTTCCAGACCAAGGTTGATGGTCTGACTACATCTTCTAATATTATATTATTACACCTGCTGCCTCTGTATTTGATCGACTAAGACTACTGTGTAAGCGAAACCTCTCGGGTTTCGATAGTGAGCCTCTCAAAACTCATCAAAGGTATATAAAGATACCCAACTGTTGCACGTGTCTTAATCATCAATTAACATCATGTATCATAAAATATTTCAAAGATTCCTGTGATGCCAGCTTAGTGTTTTTATTTATAAGTATGACCTGCATAAGTGAAGTCAGTATGGATTTAAAATAGGTAGATCATGCATGTCATAACTGTTGCATCATTATGACTAAAATCTCTGAGAGACTGGAAGAAAACCAAAATGCAGATGTGGTTAACACGCATTTTGCAAAGACATTTGCTGATATGATCATGAAGTGATGCTTAACCTGGTTTCTGGGCAGTCGGATTCCACTCACTACAGGGGTGACTGGTGCCACTCATTACAAGGGTGACTGGTGCCACTCACACGATGTTTACCTTGACTAACTACTTCGTTTCTGCCTCTCTCCTCAGGTGGGACGGCGCCATCAGCAGCAGCATGTCAGGTAAGGGCGGAGCAAGAGAAGTGAGAATATTAAGAGGCAGAACAACGATAACCTGGTACAGGCAGAGAGGCAGGTAGTTATAGAGGTAGATAGACAGGTAGTTGAAGAGGCAGACGGGCAGGCAATTAAGAGACGAAGGGAGGCAAACAGGCAGGCAGGCTAAAAGTGGTGCGGGCAGGCAGGCAGGCAGGCAGGCAGGCAGGCAGGCAGGCAGGCAGGCAGGCAGGCAGGAAGAGACTCGAGCATGGTGACAGGCAGGTAGGCAAGAAGACAGACAAACAAAAACACAGAAACCAGACAGGAAGGCAGGCAGGCATGTGGACAGGCACCTACACCCTGTGTAAGATACTACATCTTGCTCTGGTCACTTCTCTACTTGTGCAGGAAGATCATCAAAATACCTTAAGTGAGGGAAAAGGAAGGTGGAAAAAACAATGTTGAGTGTGCCTGTGGTTTTGGTTACAACACATCACCTCACATTGGACATCCACCTTATGAAGAATCTCGCCTGAAACCCCCATTTGTATGTTGACTTTACATTACGAAATAATAGCTGGGGCTTTTGTAGGTATGTTGAAATTGACAGTATTGCATAGAAATGTCAGTGACTTTGGTAAATCACAGCTAACCCACACTTGACGTCTCGATCTGTTCTGAACCATTATGAGCCAGAAAATTGGGAGAAAACGGGAAGACGGGTCCTGTGATATACCTCCGACATATCTATGTTGGATTGCGTTCGGCCACCAGTAACACCCTCGTTGATCAGGCCCTGATCCACCGGGAGGACCGGGGACCGGGCCGCGGGGGCGTTAATCCCCGGAAAGCCCTCCAGGTAGACTCCAGGTAGACCCTATCTGGCCTTTGACTAAGCTTCTGTGTTGTGCGTGATATACTAAGTTGATGCTGTTAATTGCTCTGGATGATCTGGCACTTGGCCGAGGTAGTGATCCAGTTCCCTCTTGAAGAATTCTACATTTATTCCAGCAACATTTCTGATATCTGCTGGCAGCAGGTTAAGTCTTGGGCCATGGATGTTGACAGAATTCTCATGTTGAGTGTATGGTGCCCCTGCCTGCCTTTCACTGAATTTATTATACACTCTACAAGGTCTCATTATACACCCTGTTATTTTCTGACCTTAGCTGTATTTGCCTCATTGTATTCTCTATATGACGTCAGACATTATTATTCTTAAGTATTTTACCTTTTTTATGTTTAATGAGATGGTTTGTTTGCATCGTGTATTTTCTTCACATTTTGGCTACATCATTCTTCCCACATCTAATCAACTGTAATATGTTAGCATTGACTGTCATGTTGTTTTCAGTTACCCATTGGAAAACTGTTGATGTCTGAATGTAATTTTCCTGTACCTTCTACTTAGACGACTTTATATACTTATTTTGGCATCATTCATAAAAGATAATATGATACTTTGACTAATATATTTATTATCTACGTCCGCTGTGAGGATGAGAAACAGTAATGGTGCCAGGACCGTGTCTTGGGGTGCTAAACTCTGTATTATGCTGAGACTGTTTCCTTTACTACCTCTCTCAGTGTTTGGTAAAAAATTAAATACATATCTAATTCCCTACTTTTCCTGTTATACTTATTAACTCCATTTTTTGGGTTATCACTCCATCGACACATTTGTCAAGTTTCTTCGGAAAATCTGTGAAAACCACATCTGCGTTTTGGTTTTCTTTAAAAACCTCGGTGATTTTTGTCACGGTGATTTAATATTTCTGACAAGCATGATCTGCCTGCACTAAATCCATATTCATTTAGGCAGTATAGGTTGTGCCTTAACATAAAAAACAGTTAGTTGGCATTTCAGAAACTTTTCAAGAGTTTGATGTGTGATGTTAATGCCTCTCCTTTGTGATTTTTGACTTTAGTTCTCTTGGCTTCTTTTGTGATGAGGGACTAAATCTGCACTTTTTTAGAGAAGGGTTGTTACTGGTACTTAGAGAAGGGTTGTTACTGGTACTTAGAGAAGGGTCGTTACTGGTACTTAGAGAAGGGTTGTTACTGGTACTTAGAGAAGGGTTGTTACTGGTACTTAGAGAAGGGTTGTTACTGGTACTTAGAGAAGGGTCGTTACTGGTACTTAGAGAAGGGTTGTTACTGGTACTTAGAGAAGGGTTGTTACTGGTACTTAGAGAAGGGTTGTTACTGGTACTTAGAGAAGGGTTGTTACTGGTACTTAGAGAAGGGTTGTTACTGGTACTTAGAGAAGGGTTGTTACTGGTACTTAGAGAAGGGTTGTTACTGGTACTTAGAGAAGGGTTGTTACTGGTACTTAGAGAAGGGTTGTTACTGGTACTTAGAGAAGGGTTGTTACTGGTACTTAGAGAAGGTTGTTACTGGTACTTAGAGAAGGGATGCTAGTGTTGTCTGGTCCAGCATGATGTTATCTTACGTGAGTATTGTTATCTTCCTTGTATCACTGTTATCTTTGTGTCTTATCTGTTACCTTCACCCCCACACCACCTCCATCACTTACCCCATCACCCCCATACCCCCAGATTTCCCCAGAGTCCACCCTACAACCCCCCAGTTCCTGGCGGTGATAAGGTGAATCTGATGACAGTACTAGTCTTCAGATAAGCAACTTCAGGATAACGATGAAACATAAGTTAACTAAATGTTATTACCTACGCCAAGCACTCCCAGAACCACCTGTTTGTTGCTTCGTATAGTTACATCTAACACTGCTAGAAGCACTTGTTGCTTCTTATAGTTACATCAAGCATACTGCTAGAAGCACTTGCTTACTGATATTCTCTACTAGTTACACTTCGGGAAATTTTGCCTCGCAATGAGATCTACAAAAATTTAAGAACTTCTCTTACTTTAATTACTGAGGAAAGTTTTTAACGTCAGCAACCTCCCTTACCCTGATATGCCCCTCCCTGGACCACGTCAGGTCTCCCCCTACACACCTAGCCCCTACCCAGTGACTCCTCGACCCTCCCTAACCCTCTCCCCCTCCATCCTCTCCCTGTCCCCCTACTCCGAATCACCCCTCCTTCACCAGCCCCAACCGACAATCTTGCTCTCTGCTCCCCTCCCTCCTTCCCCTCCCCAAACAATCTTGCTCCCCTGCCAGCAAGAGCCAGTGGACGTCTGGGTGTAGATTGTAATTGACAGTAGTTGAGTTGGTTGTGTGAGCGAGGGAGGGAGGGAGAGAGAGAGAGGGAGAGAGCAAGCTCTACACTACACTGTCCCAGCCTCACATTCCATCATCATGATCCTTTTTGGTAAGTGGCAAGTGTTTTGGGGATATAGTGTTGGGGTGTTTGAGGGAGGTAGTGGTGGTGTTGTGTTGTCGGGGAGGTGGTGGTGTGTTGTGCAGGAGATGGTGGTGGTGTGTTGTGGGGAGATAGTAGTGTTGTGTTGTAGGGGACGTGGTGGAAATGTGTTGTCGGGGAGATACCTTTGATATACCTTTAAAAAGTTTCGAGAGTTTCACTACTCTCGGAGCCCGGCCATGGGCCAGGCTCGTCTGATGCTTGCTGCTGGAGGCCCGCTGCCCCACACGTCTATCACAGGCTGGTTGATCTGGCACCTGGTTAAGATACTTGTCCAGTTTCCTCTTGAAGGCTTCTACACTTGTTCCAGCAGTGTTTCTGATATCTTCTGGTAAGATGTTGGTGGTGTGTTGTGAGGGAGATGGTGGTGGGAGATATTGTGTTGTGAGGGAGATGGTGGTGGGAGATATTGTGTTGTGAGGGAGATGGTGGTGGGAGATATTGTGTGTTGTGAGGGAGATGATGGTGGGAGATATTGTGTTGTGAGGGAGATGATGGTGGGAGATATTGTGTTGTGAGGGAGATGATGGTGGGAGATATTGTGTTGTGAGGGAGATGATGGTGGGAGATATTGTGTGTTGTGAGGGAGATGATGGTGGGAGATATTGTGTTGTGAGGGGAGATGGTGGGGGAGATATTGTGTTGTGAGGGAGATGATGGTGGGAGATATGTGTGTTGTGAGGGAGATGGTGGTGGGAGATATTGTGTGTTGTGAGGGAGATGATGGTGGGAGATATTGTGTTGTGAGGGAGATGGTGGTGGGAGATATTGTGTTGTGAGGGAGATGATGGTGGGAGATATTGTGTTGTGAGGGAGATGATGGTGGGAGATATTGTGTTGTGAGGGAGATGATGGTGGGAGATATTGTGTTGTGAGGGGAGATGATGGTGGGAGATATTGTGTGTTGTGAGGGAGATGGTGGTGGGAGATATTGTGTTGTGAGGGAGATGATGGTGGGAGATATTGGTGTTGTGAGGGAGATGATGGTGGGAGATATTGTGTTGTGAGGGAGATGGTGGTGGGAGATATGTGTGTTGTGAGGGAGATGATGGTGGGAGATATTGTGTGTTGTGAGGGAGATGGTGGTGGGAGATATTGTGTGTTGTGAGGGAGATGATGGTGGGAGATATTGTGTGTGTGAGGGAGATGGTGGTGGGAGATATTGTGTTGTGAGGGAGATGATGGTGGGAGATATTGTGTTGTGAGGGAGATGATGGTGGGAGATATTGTGTTGTGAGGGAGATGGTGGTGGGAGATATTGTGTTGTGAGGGAGATGATGGTGGGAGATATTGTGTTGTGAGGGAGATGGTGGTGGAGATATTGTGTTGTGAGGGAGATGATGGTGGGAGATATTGTGTGTTGTGAGGGAGATGATGGTGGAGATATTGTGTTGTGAGGGAGATGTGGTGGGAGATATTGTGTGTTGTGAGGGAGATGATGGTGGGAGATATTGTGTTGTGAGGGAGATGATGGTGGGAGATATTGTGTTGTGAGGGAGATGATGGTGGGAGATATTGTTGTTGTGAGGGAGATGATGTTGGGAGATATTGTGTTGTGAGGGAGATGATGGTGGGAGATATTGTGTGTGAGGGAGATGATGGTGGGAAATTGTGTTGTGAGGAGATGGTGGTGGGAGATATTGTGTTGTGAGGAAAATGATGGTGGAATATTGTGTTGTG